CCTCTCTCTCTCTCCCTCTCTCTAACTCGTCCTCTCTCCTTCTCTCTTTCTCGTACTTGTACATCGTGGTTTCAGGTCTATAATCCTCTTCCACACCACACACTTAAACCATTTACAGATAATGAAGCAAAATCTGTGTTCCGAGTCGTGAGGAAGAGGAGGAGGAGGAAGAGGAGGAGGAGGGCTCAGAGGAGGAGGAGGGGTCAGAGCTACAGCAGCTAATCTCTGAGGTAATAGCTTTTCTCACAGAATTACAATCTCTAATGTGTCACTTTGTAAACGCTCTTCTTGGACAGTGCGGGTCACTGTCGACAGGTCCTCTCCCTCTCTCTCCCCCTCTCCCTCTCTCTCTCCCTTTCCCTCTCTATCCCTCTCTCACCCCCTCTCTCTGCTCTGGGCAGACATCTATCACCCATTCTACAACCACCGCTACAAGCAATACAAGACATCTGAAGCATTCTGTGTTGAATTTGGTCCGAAAACCTGATCTTGAGGATAGTTACTTGAGATGTTCATGTTGAAGATTGTGAATGATTTGTAAGAATAAATTAGAGGCATTAACGTGTGCGATAGTGAATGTGAGGGATTGTTGTTCTAAAACTATAGAAGCGATTATCAGGAGACTAAAAAGAGAGAAAAGAAAGACAAGAAGGAGACCAAGGAGAGAGACCGGAGAATAACGAGAGAGACAAGAGGGAGAGAGACTAGAGGGAGACCAGAGAGAGACAGAGAGATCAGTCGGGACCAGAGAGAGACCAGAGAGAGAGACCAGAGAAAGAGACTAGAGAGGGAGACCAGAGAGAGAGAGACGAGAGAGAGACACAAGAGAGAGGCTAGAGAGAGACCAGAGTGAGAGACCAGAGAAAGACGAGAGAGGGAGACCAGAGAGAGACACAAGAGAGAGATCAGTCGGGACCAGAGAGAGACCATAGAGAAAGACCAGAGAGAGAGACCAGAGAGAGACACAAGAGAGAGAGAGGCTAGAGAGAGACCAGAGAGGGAGACCAGAGAGAGACACAAGAGAGAGATCATTTGGGACCAGAGAGAGACTAGAGAGAGAGACCAGAGAGACCAGAGAGAGAGACTAGAGAGAGAGACCAGAGAGAGAGACCAGAGAGAGAGACTAGAGAGAGAGACTAGAGAGGGAGACCAGAGAGAGAGACCAGAGAGAGATCATTTGGGACCAGAGAGAGACCAGAGAGAGAGACCAGAGTGAGAGACCAGAGAGAGAGACTAGAGAGGGAGACCAGAGAGAGAGACCAGAGAGAGAGACTAGAGAGAGAGACCAGAGAGGGAGACCAGAGAGAGAGACCAGAGAGAGAGACTAGAGAGAGAGACCAGAGAGGGAGACCAGAGAGAGATCATTTGGGACCAGAGAGAGAAAAAAAATCTTTTTTCTTCCTTAACAACTGCAGCTATAATCCTGGTGTAGATTATAAAGTGCTCAGAGCTGTAGAAGAAAAACCAACTCCACAGAATCTGCATAAAACCCCGAGAGACGGCATTAGCAGCGAGAGAAGAGTCTGACGCAGAGTCAATATTGTGGAAGAGGAGACAGAGAAAAGTGGTTTAAAGGAAACACACTGTGAGGTTTTAAACATGTGACGATAGTGTTGTCACCGACAGAGAGGAAGTTTAAATATCACCGATTATCACTCAGTTTGAGACTGAAGGAATGTAATGTTCATGAGTTCCCCGTTTACAAGGAGACGCTGCGACAGTAAAGCGCTAGAGTGTGGTGTCGGTTTGGTCTTTTGTTTACATGGAGACTCAAAAGCATTGAGAAACAGCCTCCAGAGTGGAACAGAAGAGACACGCGGCTCAGCGAGGGCCGTTTCACAGCTGTGTGAAGAAAAAAGTGTGAATCACCAGAAACATTCCTCTCCACAGTCTCCTCAATGCACACCTCTCTCTCTTCAGCTCCAGGGGCCGGTGTTGTGTCGGAGCCCGGTGTGTGGCCCCCGGCTGTGGTCTACAGTGGGGCCCTCACACATGTGTCCAGGGCCTTAAGGTTTATATAGATGAGGCCCCATTTGTCCCTCTGTGTTTGTGCCAGATATAAAAACCCCAGAAATGGCCTCGAATCACACAGACATCATTAGAGAATCACTGTGGGAGAGAGCAGAGAGAGCAGTAGAGAGAGAGACTAGGAAGAGACCAGAGGGAGACCAGAGGGAGATCAGAGACAGACCAGAGAGAGACCAGTGAGAGGCCAGAGAGGCCAAAGAGAGACCAGAAAGAGACAGAGAGAGACCAGTGAGAGAGAACACAGGAAGAGCAGGGAAACCAGAAAGAGAGCAGGGACAGACCAGATAAAGAGACAAGAGAGGAACCATAGAGAATCTAGAGAGAGACCAGAGAGAGACCGGGAAGATCCCATAGAAAGACCACAGATAGAGCAGAGAGCGACCAGAAAGAGACCAGAAAGGGACCAGAGGAGAGACAGACTAGAGCGGGATCAGCAAGACAGACTACAGAGGGAGACAGACAAAAAGAGATTAGAGGGAGAAGAGAGAGATCAGGGAAAGAAGAGAGAGGGACCAAAAAGAGACCAGGGAGAGACCAGAGAGACCCCACATAAAAACCACAGAAATGGCCTTGCATCATGCCGAGATCATTAGTGAGCGAATAGCCGTGTGAAAAATGAGGAGAAAGGTGCTAAACTAGCGAGCGTGTGTCATCTTCCACACCTTTATAACCGTTTTGCCCTTCCATCCCAATATACATGTAAATTCCATGGCTCCATCGCATCGTACGGACGTAGCTTTAGCGGCTTTAGCTCCTGAGAATTTCCAAAGACGTTAGCTTCTCTCTCTTATGGCGCGCGTCTCGATTATGTCATTTTGTGTGTCCTGCGTCGTGCTGTTTTTTATGTCTTTGCCGAGAGATCTGAATCCTGACAGATCATTAGTCATAGCGGGCTTCCCCCTCCCCCGCCACCTCCTCCTCTCTCAATCTGCACTCCCCCAATGCGCTTCTCTCCTTTCCCTTTTCTATTATGCTGGAATTTAGAGTCAGTGAAACGGGGTCCTCTGGTACGGAGGCCTTTGAAGCACAAATGATACTCAAAAACTGGTTATTTTGTAGGTTTTTGTTCATGGTGGAGAGAGAGAGACCAGAGGGAGGCCAGAGAGAGACTAGGGAGAGAGACAAGGGAGGGAGACCAGAGAGAGAGACCAGAGAGGGACCAGAAAGAGAAATAAGAGAGAGACCAGAGCGAGACCAAAGAGAAGTCAGAGAGAGAGACATGAGAGCAAGACCAGAGAAAGAGAGACCAGACAGAGACCAGAGAGAAGTTAGAGAGAAAGACCAGAGAGACCACAGAGAAAGACCAGAGAAAGAGAGACCAGACGGACCAGAGAGAAGTCAGAGAGAGAGACCAGAGAAAGAGAGACCAAACAGGGACCAGAGAGAAGTCAGAGAGAGAGACCAGAGAGAAAGACCCGAGAGACCAGAGAGAGAGGCACAAGATAGACTAGAGAGACCAGAGAAAGGCCTGACAGAGAGAGAGAGACCATCCTCTCCCTCCTCCTCCTCTTCCTCCCCCTCCTCCCTGTGTGTGACCTGAGTTCTCGGCTACATCATTCTGACACATAATTATCTGTGGATCTTTAATCACCTGTGCAGGAGATAAAGTGCCGGAGACACCAGCGGAGGTCGCGTCTCCAAATCAAAGTGCTAGCACGACGCGGAGACAAGGCGCTGTAACCGACGGCAACCTGCTTTATACGGGACAGAGCTCCTGATCGCGGTGTCAGCAAAACAGAGGAGGAACGTGAAATACAAGGACCAGAGAGACCCGAAAAGGACCAGAGAGAGAAACTAGAGAGAGAGAGAGAGCAAGACCAGAAAAATACCAAAAAGAGACTAGAGAGGCCAGAAAAAGACCAGAAAGAGGGACTAAAGGGAGACAAAAGAGAGAGCGAGTGACCAGAGAGAGACCAGAGAGTGAGAGAGATCAGAGAGAGAGACAAGAAAGAAAGACAAGAGAGATCAGCGAGAGGCCAGAGAGAGATACTAGAGAGAGAGGCAAATAAAGACCAGAAAGAGAGACACCAAGAGAACACATTCGAACACTTGAAGTTTGTCTATAGACCCTGCATGGTCACTTCTTCATTCCAGACTGAGCAACATGGGTCAAAACCTCACACCCTTTAACCTGCCCACAGTACAGAAGTCTGTAGTGTATAGTCTACAGTAATCTATTGCCCCAAAACATTCAATACAAACCAGCTGCTAAAGATACAAGCAACTCCTCAAACTTGGTCAGCAAAGTTACAATTATAACTTTATAGTGAGTAAGACATCTTAAGTGCAAGGTCACACAAAGCGCTTCTCTCACTCACAACAGGGGAAACTGTAACACCTGGAGGAAACCAAGTGAGGTAGACACAAGGAGAATATGCAAACTCCATACAGACCCAGGACCAGAGAGAGACGAGAGAAAAAACAGGGAGACAAGAGAAAAAAAACAGAGAGAGAGACAACGCCGAAAGACCAGAGTCAAGAGAGAAAGACACCAGAGAGAGAGCTTGACTAGAGAGAGGGGTCAAAGAGAGACCAGAGAGAGACGGGAGGGATACAGGAGAAAGAAACTAGAGAGACCAGAGGGAGAATAACAAAAGAGGGGGACTAGAGAGACACAAGAGCAGGAAACTGGAGAAGGAGACCATACAGTGAGGCCAGAGATACTAGAGAGAGAATCCAGAAAGAGACTAGAGAGAGAGAGACCAGAGAGAGACCAGCGAAAGACTAGAGAGAGACCAGAGAGAGACCAGCGAAAGACTAGAGAGAGACCAGAGAGGGACCAGAAGGAGAGCAAATGTTTTAAATGCTAGGGGAAATCGGAGCACCAGGGGGGAACCTACTCAGACACCTGGACCACATGCAAACTCCAAACAGAGAGGAGGACCTTCTTGCTAACCACTGCCCCAATGGTGCTCCTCAGGTTGAATTGACTAAACTTCATGTTCCAATCGCACAGAAGCAGATTTTCTTACCGTCGTCTCGTTTCCTCTTCTCGCCGTTGGTTCGGGGGATTCCCAGGATGCCGTTGATGGAGTAGGATCCCGCGGGGTCATTGGAGGCGCTGGTGACCGGAGGAGATATAGTGCTGGGGACTGGACCAGGAGAAGAATGAGTAATGTCTATACACTGGTGCCTGGTATATGGCAGGGGTGATGTGTTCTCAAAAATAACCCATGATAAGTGAAGTCCTTGAAGTAGCAGCTGTATGTTCTGGTCTCTCTCTCTGGTCTCTCGATGGTCTCTCTCTTCTCTCTGGTCTCTCTAGTCTCTCTCTGGTATCTCTCAATGCAAACTCTACACAACAGGCCATGGATGGGAATTTGAACCCAGGACCAGAGAGAGATAAGAGAGAGAGAGACCAGAGAGAGACCAGAGAGACTAGAAACCAGAGAACGACCAGGGAGAGACTAGAGAGATGGAGACCAGTATTTTGCAGACACTCACTGTGGGGATGTTTTGAGCCGAAACATTACATACACCAGCTTCAATGTGTGTGTGTGTGTGTGTGTGTGCTCTGTTACCGATTGTGTGTACGGGAGACGTTAGCGAGGATCCGTCTGGCGAGGGATGAAACGGCTGCTGCACTTTGGTTCTGATGATCCTGGAGACAAAACACAGAAAACAACACAAATATTAAGTCCTAATATTCACAAATGACATGGGTCTACAGCCTCAGTCCTGGATCTACAGCCTCAGTCCTGGATCTACAGCCTCAGTCCTGGATCCACAGCCTCAGTCCTGGATCTACAGCCTCAGTCCTGGGTCTACAGCCTCAGTCCTGGGTCTACAGCCTCAGTCCTGGATCTACAGCCTCAGTCCTGGATCTACAGCCTCAGTCCTGGATCTACAGCCTCAGTCCTGGATCTACAGCCTCAGTCCTGGATCTACAGCCTCAGTCCTGGATCTACAGCCTCAGTCCTGCCTCTCCATCCTCCTGAGCCTCAGCCTCAGCCTCGGTCCTGTCTTCCTCACACACTATTGATCGTCTGTTTGGTGGAAAAGGGAAAAGCATTTGTGGATTAGCAGAGAGTGAACCCAAAGCGATGCAAATACGCAGCTATAAATTACATGTGACAGGAAGGCGATAGTCCCTGATCGGTCGGCCCTCGCCTTGGCCTCAGGATCGGGTTGCGTTAATCTGACGGGCGCGAAGGGAGCCACCTCGTCCTGGGCTTTGGTAAACTCTCTCTGGAGGTCCGGTCGAGATTCAGTAAAAAGATTTTTGGCGAGAAATGTGGAAAGAGCTGAAATTCTACTTCCTTTCAAAAGTTTAAAATATGTCTGAAAATTTGTCAGGGAATTATAATGTGATTCTCACTGGTCTCTCTCTAGTTTCTCCCTGGTCTCTTTCTTTCTAGTCTCTCACCGGTCTTTCACTGGTCCCTCTCTATTGCTCTCTCTTATTCTTCTTTGCTTTATATAGTCCCTCTCTCTGGTCTCTTTCTGATCTCTCTCTTGATCTCTCTCTCTGGTCTCCATCTGATCTCTCTCTCTGGTCTCTCTCTCCAATCTCTTTCTGGTCTCTCTCTGATCTCTCTCTATGATCTCTCTCTCCAATCTCTTTCTGGTCTCTCTCTGATCTCTCTCTCTCTCTATGGTCTCTCTCTCCAATCTCTCTCTGGTCTCTCTCTGCTCTCTCTCTATGATCTCTCTCTCCAATCTCTTTCTGGTCTCTCTCTGGTCTCTCCCACAATCACAATATTTATGAACCATGTGCAGACTGTAGACTGTGGACTCTCCATTGGGCCCATGTATCGACAGACTCATTCCTTCTCTTCTTTTTCCCATAACAGTTTTTGCGGCCGCGGCCTGGAGCCGGCGCGTAAATCCAAACGCTTTATTCGATGTCCACGTTGTCCGTATCGAAGAAGCAGTTTAGCAGTAGGAATTAACGACGCCGCTGTAGCAGAAAATCCCCCAAAGAGATATTAAAATTGCTTCATGTTTGGATCAATAGCAGAGAGTGGGATTGGAGTGCGTGTGTGTGTTTGTGTGTAGGTGTGTGTGTGTGTGTTATATTAATACAGCTCAACACTTTGTCAAAAAACAAACATGGGAGACGTCAATGAGCCTTACTGATGCTAAAGCTGGGGTCCCTGACTTTGAAACCACAACAAATGAACTGTAATAGATTCTAGGTCCTGATTCTGAAACTGTTTGATTCAATCACTAGTTTTTTGTATGAAAGAGACCAGAGAGAGAGAGAGCGAGAGAGAGAGAGAGAGAGAAAGAGAGAGAGAGAGAGAGAGAGAGAGAGAGAGAGAGAGAGAAAGAGCAGAGAGAGAGAGAAAGAGAGAGAGAAAGAGCAGAGAGAGAGAGCAAGAGAGTAGAGAAAGAAAAGTAATTAAAAGTCCTGGATCTACAGCCTCAGTCCTGGATCTACAGTCTCAGTCCTGGATCTACAGTCTCAGTCCTGGATCTACAGTCTCAGTCCTGGATCTACAGTCTCAGTCCTGGTTCTACAGCCTCAGTCCTGGATCTACAGTCTCAGTCCTGGATCTACAGTCTCAGTCCTGGATGTACAGTCTCAGTCCTGGATCTACAGTCTCAGTCCTGGATCTACAGCCTCAGTCCTGGATCTACAGTCTCAGTCCTGGATCTACAGTCTCAGTCCTGGATCTACAGTCTCAGTCCTGGGTCTACAGCCTCAGTCCTGGGTCTACAGTCTCAGTCCTGGGTCTACAGTCTCAGTCCTGGATCTACAGTCTCAGTCCTGGATCTACAGCCTCAGTCCTGGATCTACAGTCTCAGTCCTGGATGTACAGTCTCAGTCCTGGATCTACAGTCTCAGTCCTGGGTCTACAGCCTCAGTCCTGGGTCTACAGTCTCAGTCCTGGGTCTACAGCCTCAGTCCTAGATCGACACCCTCATTTCATAATTTTGCTGAATCCGCTGCTTGGTAAAGTCCTACGCGACGGCTGATGTTTTGAATGAGGCCTTTACACAAATACATTGAATTGAAATATTCTCCAAACTCAATTAAAAAACGCCTGTGTGTTTCTATGGCCCCTGAAAGCGCCGCAGAACAAGCCTCTTCTTCCTCTAATTAGAACAATCCTCGGCGTTTAACTCGACGTAAAGGCAATTACATAGATTCGAATGGAGCCGGTGCTGAGGAGGAGAAACGTTTGTGTCTAATTACACACATCTAAACTGGCTGCGTTTCTGTTTCTAATAGAGTCTTGTTTCTCGCAATTATCCACAATCATAACCAATTTCCTCTGGAGCAGCAGGAGAAAGGAGGCGGCCACAGCGAGACTATTCACCAAACACACACTGGAAATGACTTCGAAGGACAGTGGCGATGGAGAGAATCGTATCACAGGGTTTTATATGTATAGAGAGAGAGACGACTGAGAGAAAAGTGTGATTCTGGGGTTATTATTGTGGCGGCGACTCAAAGTGTGAGCAGAACAGGATGGAGACATTGAAATGCTGTTAAACTTATAGATAATCACAGTCTGTTAAAAGGAGTAAAGATCCTGGATCCTCAGTCCTGGGTCTACATTCTCAGTCCTGGATCCTCAGTCCTGGATCCACAACCTCAGTCCTGGATCTACAGCCTCAGTCCTGGATCCTCAGTCCTCGATCTACAGCCTCAGTCCTGGATCCTCAGTCCTGGGTCTACAGCCTCAGTCCTCGATCTACAGCCTCAGACCTGGATCCTCAGTCCTGGACCTACAGCCTCAGTCCTTGCTGATGATTTTGGGTCTAAGGATAGGCATGTATTAACATTCCTGGACAGTGGTCTTCTATGTGTTTGTTATTACTCCATATCCTGTGTTTCGAGTGTTTGATTCTCTGATCTGCTGTCTGCGAATCGACAAGTCCTCCTTATGTCTACACAAAAATAAATGTAATTGAATAAATGTCCTTAGACCTTCCTGCCTCTGTAAGGAACCAGTCAGAGTCCAGGCCGTGTAGCTGCCGTGGTCTGGAGCTGGGGGGGGGGGGAATTGGCCTGTTTGGTGGCGGTGGGGGATCCTCCAGGGGCCTCAGGCTATTGATCGCCTTCATGTTGAGGCTAACGCAGGTGATTGTGGAGGGAGTGTGAGCGGCCAGATTGAAATGCTCCACAGAGACCGGAGAGAAACCAGGACCTCTTACTCTGAGGCCGACCCAGAAACTCAATGAGAAATCTGTGTCAGCTTCACATGAGGAGGATGTACTGTATAAGTTTTATTTATTGTGTGTGTTTGTTTTGCACATGTGAGGAATGCGTTGTTGATTCTGGAGATTTGTAATTATGAACCTAATTACAATTATTATTATACTCTCTCTGGTCTCTCTCTCTCTCTGATCTCTCCCTTTGGTCTCTCTCTCTGGTCTCACTGTGACTTTCTCTAGACTCTTTCTTGTCTCTCTCTGTTCTATCCGGTCTCCCTCTAGTCTCTCTCTAGTCTCCCTCTAGTCTCTAGTCTCCCTCTTGTCTCTCTCTTGTCTCTCTAGTCTCTCTCTAGTCTCCCTTTAGTCTCCCTCTAGTCTCTCTCTTGGCTCTCTCCTGTCTCTCTCTGGTCTCTCTCTAGTCTCCCTCTATTCTCTGTCTAGGCTCTCTCTTGTCTGTCTCTATTCTCTCTCTTGTCTCTCTAGACTCTCTCTAGTCTCCCTCTAGTCTGCCTATAGTCTCTCTCTAGTCTATCTCCTGTCTCTCTCTAGTCTCGCTTTAGTCTCCCTCTAGTCTCTCTCTTGTCTCTCTCTAGTCTCTCTCTGGTCTATCTCCTGTCTCTCTCTGGTCTCTCTCTAGTCTCGCTTTAGTCTCCCTCTAGTCTCTCTCTTGTCTGTCTCTAGTCTCTCCTGTCTCCCTCTAGTCTCTCTTTAGTCTCTCTCTGGTCTCTCTCTAGTCTCCTTCTAGTCTCTCTCTTGCCTCTCTCTAGTCTCTCTCCTGTCTCTCTCTGGTCTCTCTCTAGTCTCCCTCTAGTCTCTTTCTAGGCTCTCTCTTGTCCCTCTATTCTCTCTCTAGGCTCTCTCTTGTCTCTCTAGTCTCCCTCTAGACTCTCTCTAGTCTCCCTCTAGTCTCTCTCTTGTCTCTCTCTAGTCTCTCTCTGACCAACAGTCTTAAATATGTGGGGTATATCTCAATAACACAGTGGAATTTGTGCCCGTTCTTCTCTCACCTGTTGATGGACGAGACGCTGGGGACCGTGTCGTTGTCGCACACTCCTTCTGCCAGAAGTCTGTCCCGAATCTCCCACGCAAACATGGTGGGGTTCTGTCTCTTATAGTCTGCAATTTTATCCACTACTTTGGGCGTCGCCACTTTAGGCTTGGAGCCTCCGATTACGCCAGGTTTGATGCTGCCGGTCTCGTAATATCTGCAAAAGATACATACAAAATATAACATTAGCTAGCACATACATAAGCACCCATATACGATTGATAGAGCGAGAGAAAGACAGACAGCGAGAGAGAGAGAGAGAGAGAGAGAGACAGATACATACATAGAAAATATGTTATATGTTATAAAATATGACAAAATATCCCTGAGTCATTATTGGACTCTTTGGGCAGAGGATGGTCCTCTCTTTGTCACTTTTATGTCCGAAAAATCTGATAGGAAGCTCTGGCTCATGCTCTGGTCTCTCTCTGGTCTCCCTCTGGTCTCTCTCTGGTCTCTCTCTGGTCTCCCTCTGGTCTCTCTCTGGTCTCTCTCTGGTCTCCCTCTGGTCTCTCTCTGGTCTCCCTCTGGTCTCTCTCTGGTCTCTCTCTGGTCTCCCTCTGGTCTCTCTCTGGTCTCTCTCTGGTCTCCCTCTGGTCTCTCTCTGGTCTCTCTCTGGTCTCCCTCTGGTCTCTCTCTGGTCTCTCTCTGGTCTCTCTCTGGTCTCCCTCTGGTCTCTCTCTGGTCTCTCTCTGGTCTCTCTCTGGTCTCTCTCTGGTCTCCCTCTGGTCTCCCTCTGGTCTCTCTCTGGTCTCTCTCTGGTCTCCCTCTGGTCTCTCTCTGGTCTCTCTCTGGTCTCCCTCTGGTCTCTCTCTGGTCTCCCTCTGGTCTCTCTCTGGTCTCTTTCTAGTCTCTTTCCGTTCAATCTGTCTGGTCTCTCTCTGGTCTCTCTCTGGTCTCTCTCTGGTCTCCCTCTGGTCTCTCTCTGGTCTCTCTCTGGTCTCTCTCTGGTCTCTCTCTGGTCTCCCTCTGGTCTCTCTCTGGTCTCTCTCTGGTCTCTCTCTGGTCTCTCTCTGGTCTCTCTCTGGTCTCTCTCTGGTCTCTCTCTGGTCTCCCTCTGGTCTCTCTCTGGTCTCTCTCTGGTCTCTCTCTGGTCTCTCTCTGGTCTCTCTCTGGTCTCTCTCTGGTCTCTCTCTGGTCTCCCTCTGGTCTCCCTCTGGTCTCTCTCTGGTCTCCCTCTGGTCTCTCTCTGGTCTCTTTCTAGTCTCTTTCCGTTCAATCTGTCTGGTCTCTCTCTGACCTTTCTCTGGTCTCTCTCTCTGGTCTCTCTCTCTGGTCTCTCTCTGGTCTCTCTCTCTGGTCTCTCTCTCTGGTCTCTCTCTGGTCTCTCTCTCTGGTCTCTCTCTGGTCTCTCTCTCTGGTCTCTCTCTGGTCTCTCTCTCTGGTCTCTCTCTCTGCTCTCTCTGGTCTCTCTCTCTGGTCTCTCTCTGGTCTCTCTCTCTGGTCTCTCTCTCTGCTCTCTCTGGTCTCTCTCTCTGGTCTCTCTCTGGTCTCTCTCTCTGGTCTCTCTCTGGTCTCTCTCTCTGGTCTCTCTCTGGTCTCTCTCTCTGGTCTCTCTCTGGTCTCTCTCTCTGGTCTCTCTCTCTGGTCTCTCTCACTGGTCTGTCTGTCTGAACCTGTTCTAAAGTTGTGACAAAGGCCAATAATCATAAAAACTAGTGATAAGAGCAAACCGTTTTGATAAATAATGATTTAGTTCATTTTTGTGGTTTTAAAATTGTGTACCCCAGCTTCAAAACAACAATTAGCTTAACAACATTCCAGATAATGCTTAATGAATTAGGGATTTCTCAGTAAAGACTTTAGCGTGGCCTTTTTTTAATTTGGGAGACACGCGAACAAGCTAGCATTACTCAAAACGTGCTATTATGCTAATCGCTAGCTAATGCACCACGCGTATCTCCTTATAAAATTAATTCATTTGGCCATTTTAACTCATTTTCCGCTTGGCTTGGCTCCATTCACACCGCGGTCCTTCTCTCCCTTCTACAGAAGTCCAGGATATTGGCGTTTTTTGTATTGAAATTAGCCGCACGCTTGACTGGACTGGAAAGCAGTTGAAGTTTAGCGTTTAGCTAAGCTGCAGTGGGTTAGCGAAAAAGGTTAAAATTACTAGTAAATATTTTGTATGTGAATGGGTATAAAGCACAAATATACAAAATAAGACACTATTGTACAAATAATTAACAATAATAGCAATAAACATTAGTATGAACAAAGACAAAAGACGGAGGAAGGAAAATAAACAAAAATACCAACTCTGACGCACAAAAGAAGTCGTACAACTTTATAAAGTCGTTGATTCCCCGCGACAGATCAGAGAATCAAAGACAGGAAAAGCAATGACAACAAACACATAAGAGTGTTTGTCGTCCCGTTCTCTAGTTCATAGAGAGCGGGAGAGACCATAGGCTAGAGAGACCAGGAAGAGACCAAGGAGAGACCAGGAAGAGACCAGGAAGAGACCACAGAGTGACCAGTGAGACGTTAGCTTCTATGACTCATTGATCGTTAGCTTCTATGACTCATTGATCGTTAGCTTCTATGACTCATTGATTGTTAGCTTCTGTGACTCATTCACCGTTAGCTTCTATGACTCATTCACTGTTAGCTTCCATGACTCATTCACCGTTAGCTTCCATGACTCATTGATCGTTAGCTTCTGTGACTCATTGATCGTTAGCTTCTGTGACTCATTGATCGTTAGCTTCTGTGACTCATTCACCGTTAGCTTCTATGACTCATTCACCGTTAGCTTCTATGACTCATTCACCGTTAGCTTCTGTGACTCATTGATCGTTAGCTTCTGTGACTCATTCACCGTTAGCTTCTATGACTCATTCACCGTTAGCTTCTATGACTCATTCACCGTTAGCTTCTGTGACTCATTGATCGTTAGCTTCCATGACTCATTCACCGTTAGCTTCTATGACTCATTCACCGTTAGCTTCCATGACTTTTAGCCTGTGTTTAAAGTGTTTCATTTGCTAGAACTTTGTTAAGTCCTATCAAATAAAAAATCAATAAAAATCAAATAAATTGAATTGAATTTGAAGTCCTCAAAACGACACTACATCCCTCACGTTGTTAGCTTAGCCCAAGCCCCGGCGATCCAAGATGGCGCCCTATTCAAATGAATGGTTGTGCTCAGTGGCGCTTTGTGACGGGGCTGAAAGATTAGCGGAAGTTGCCTGAAACTCGCAAAGAACTTTGGGAAACTCGTCTGTATTTGGGCATCGTCTGGTCCTCCCGGTTCTGCGCAGTGGATGATCTCCCATAATGCGTTGCGCCAAACACACGTGTGTGGGTCTCACACCGGGTCTCACGCACGTGCACAGAGGGGCTCGGCCGCGCTCTGACCAATCAGAGCAGTTCATCAGAGCGGGAGTTAGAGCGAGAGCCAGAGGAGCAGAGTTTGTGGCACTAAAGTGTGGATTTAAACAAAACCGAAGGATTTAAGAAGAAAAAAAGTTCAGGACGACAAGGGACACTAAAATCCCCACAAAATCCGATCTTTATTAAAGCTGTAGGTTCTCTGTCAGCTGAGGTTGAGCTGTTTTAATATGCATTGAGTTCTATGGGGAAAATTTCTGGGTAGCCCACGTGAATTTAGTCTGGTTCAGTCTGCAGTACCGCGAGAATCCCCTGAGCACATGAGTTATTCAGCTACAAGCTAGTAATACCCTATCCAGTTATTATAATACATCCATGGCTTAGCCCCCGTCGTGCATCACGTCATAAGTGTTTTATGGGGTCATACCCGGGTCCGTACCTGCCGAGGATCTTGCTGACGCAGCCGTGGCTCACGCGCAGCTGGCGGGAGATGTCGCAGGGCCGGACCCCCTGGTGGGCCAGCTCCACGATGCGCTGCCTCACCACGTCAGGCAGTGGGCGGCCGTTCACGAACACCCCGCCCAGCTGGTTCACCCCGCCGTGCCCTGCGAAGGAGACAACAGCGCGCGTGGCACACAGACCCGCGACATTACATACAGGCAGACGAGGCAGGTTTATTTGTTTGGCACAGTCCATATCACTATTACACCCTGCAGGGCCTACTTCTTTCTCTGGAGTCTCTCTCTTGTCTCTCTCTTGTCTCTCTCTTGTCTCTCTCTTGTCTCTCGCTCTCTGGTCTCTCCCATGTTTGTATGGTACAGTTCATAAGGCAATGACTCAAAATGATGACCAAAACAAGAATGAGTCGTAAATAACTCATAAATAATCACAGTGCATTAAAAAGTGTAAAGATATATCTTTCAGAAATGTTTTTGACCTGCATTTTAACATTATCAGAGAATAAGCCGGTCTCACATTTTCAGGAAGACTGTTACAGATTTTATCTGCATCAGTCTGAAATTTAGCCTTTAGTTCTCACTCTGTGACCAGCAGGAGGCCTGTCCCATGTGCTCCTCAGAGTCCCAGCAGGAGGCCAGTCCCTGTGCTCCTACCAGCAGGAGGCCAGTCCCTGTGCTCCTCAGAGTACCAGCAGGAGTCCAGTCCCTGTGCTCCTCAGAGTACCAGCAGGAGGCCAGTCCCTGTGCTCCTCAGAGTCCCCCTTGGTACATATGGCACTACATGACACAGATGTACTTTGGTGCGAGGCCATGGAGAGAAACAGAGCTGCTTTAAAGTCTCTGAGCCACAGGACACAGAGACCTGAGAACTGGACTAATGAGAGGAGTCAGATGAGTTGAGGCAGAGTTATTATAGCTCTTAGGCATGACCACTGGTCCATATGTTTATGCCTCTCAATATGGGCCTCCCTGAGGTTTTTAACTTTTTTCACTAGTTTTTTCTTGTTGTTGTTGTTGTTGTTGTTGTCCCTGATGCAGGAGGGTCAGTGATGATCCAGAACATTTAACAACATTTATGGACAGTATATCCCACTCCATATGGACTAATGTCTCTGGTCTCTCTCTGGTCCCTCTCTGGTCCCTCTCTGGTCCCTCTCTGGTCCCTCTCTGGTCCCTCCCTGGTCTCTCTCTGGTCTCTCTCTGGTCTCTTTGAAATGTAACACATGTTACGAGCTTCAGATGCAAATGCAAGGTTAAAATTGCACATACATTATCTAAGTCTACATTAATAAATACAATCTCTAACTTTAGCATCATCTCTCATAATCAATAAGCCTTTATTGTTTGATTTTCTAATTGGCAACGCACGCACGCACGCACACACACACACACACACAACACACACACACACACACACACACACACACACACACACACACACACACACACACACATACACACACACACAGGATTTTAATTGATTGACCAGAGAGCAGCGACTGACGCCAGAGCTCCTTCTTGCCAAGTGTCGCGCGCTGCCAGGCTTGACTCACGCTGAAAACACTGTTCGCAGGTTTAGCCCCAATTAACCTTCATGATCACGTTTCCAGATAGATTAAAAAACCTCACAGTTCTGAGCTTAGATTATAAATATCGCTCATTAAGTGAATAAAAGAAACAAGTGAGATCTTTGTGGTTTTAGGTCAAAGCAAAGTGGATATTTATATTTGTTGCATACATTGTCGTGCTTTATTAAAATCAGTAAAACAGAGAGAGAATGCAGCACGAGGGAAAATACTGGAGCTTAGAATATAAATAAAATGTGTGTTATTGTCAAATTCATCAGCTGTAACTGTGACAAAACAGGCGAGAAAATGTGTCGCTCGTTAATGCAGAAACATAAGGATTTTCTATCTTAAAATCCACGTGTTTATTATATGTAACAGCGAATACACATATTTATATAATTGTTATTCTAATATGAATGAGTGAATTGGTCGTGGACACAGGAGACAGCTGGAGCCGGACTCACACAAAAGGTTAAAACAATGGACTCTGCACGCGCTCAAAAAACAACATTTCATAATATTCTCTAACGTCATTTATGCGACAAACGTAGATTAATGAATTATAGAATTATTAATACAGATGTGATACATTCAAGCGATGCGTTTCCACCAAATCTGGGACATTTACATGAAAAATACCATTAAAACACATATTAGAATTTGGGTTTTTTTTGTTGCGAGAAGCCAGATCTGCTTTTAGTGCCAAACAAATAAACTTTCCCTCCTTCTTGAGGACATTTTTCACATGTTCTGTCATTAACAACATGTTTAAGATTATAGCTTAAGTACAACAACTTTTAAATGCATTTTTAACGGGAAAAATCGATTTTTGAAAATATTTGTTTTCGTATTATTTCTCGTCTTTTCAAGCAACGAAAGTAAATGGAAAAAATATAATAATAATTATGCACTTTTTGATCATTTAAAGTGGTGCGTTGTAGCCACGTATGGGACATTTACATATATGGTAATTATCGGACACGCACGAGCTCCTATCATTTTAATAACCAGCGAAACACAATACAAATTAATCATGACATTTCTGCCATAGCCAAAAACACACATATACAGCACATGCGCGTGCGTTTCATAGCTATATATTTGAATCAAAGCAATTCCTTGTGTGACACATGTATAGAATCAGAAACGCCATCTTTCCTCTGCTCTGACTCGGTCCCGTCTCGTCCTTTCATTACACGCGAATCATTGAAACGTGGCCAAATATTAACCTCATTTTCGCGGTGATTCTCCACGCGCTGACCTCGCGCACGCCTGGACCCGTGCGTGTCCGCGTGCGTCTGTATCACTGTATTATAAGACATTTAATTATAGATACGATATTATTTCATTCGTCTATATATTGTGTTTAGTTTTTCTTCACATTTATACTTTCGCACAGACATATTTAAAAGCGTCACGTTTGTCTCTGTGCGTCACTTTGGAAACTTGTTTTTCAAAGTGTGCTCTATAAATAAACTGGATTGGGTTGTTTTAGTTCTGTTTTGGGCACAGGGTTGCCAGGTTCACGCGGCGTCAATACACATTTGCATCGGTCAAAATTGGTTTGTTATACTAATAGAAGTAGCAGCAAGTATCGAAGTAGCAGCAGCATGTAATTGATAGTTGTAGTAGTAGTAATAGTATAGTAGTAGTAGTAGTAGTACATGTGTAAGTATGTAAGTATAACCTATCCACGCATTATGCCTGAATATGAAAAGACAGCGAGCTGAATATCTTTTCACATCTTGCCTTTGACAATTGACAATACAGTTTATTATTAATATTATTATTTGCTGTTTTTGCAAAGGTTCACGCGCTGTCATTACGCATTGGTTTGTTAAACTGAAATAGTAGTAGTAGTAATAGTATTTATTATATATAGTACATGTGCAAATAACCAACTAGGCCTAAATACGAATAGGCAGCGAAGGGAAAATCATTACATTCTAAACAATAACAAAACAATATCAAATTATGTGTTGTTTCATTCTATCTTTGTAAATATGCGCTTTGATTCCTGCTCCATTCTTTAATAATATTTGGGAGACAAATACGATTTTTTTTAAATTCATGTGTCTCCTTTCTCTTTCTCCTGTTTCCGGTTACACGCGTAAAGTGCAGAACATATATTGGATATTGGTGTGTGATCGGATGGCAAAGACAGATACATATAAAAATAATATTAAGGCATTTACGTTATTTTGAGAATGCAAAATTCAATGAATTTGTTTTTTGGACAATTTATATGCAAAATGTTTATGTATTCTCTTATTCTGGGTGAAGGGAATTCATTTAGATTCGCTTAGCACTGTTTTTTGCTCTGGTTAAATTTGTATTGTTTTCAACTTGATATTTAATTAATTCGGACTTTGAGGAGCACATAGGGACTGGCTTCCTCCTGCTGGGACTCTGAGGAGCAGAGGGACTGGGCTCCTCCTGCTGGGACTCTGAGGAGCAGAGGGACTGGGCTCCTCCTGCTGGGACTCTGAGGAGCACAGGGACTGGCCAGAGTCAGGACTAAACATGGGACTACAAAATTTCAATTATACGCCTCTGGAATCTTCCTGGAGATGAAGAGGCCTCATCTCTGTCATTGTTTAAATCCTATATCTGTACATTTAAGTTTTCTGCATTACAATTGAAAAGCGAGTTTTAATTCTTACATCGAGCACTGTTTTTTTTACTATTCGATTGTTTGATGACGAGACAAGAGAACCTATAAATGTACGAGTTTATGCCTGAATGCCATTGTGCGTTATAAATAAATTAGGTTCTTAAAGTCCTTGCATTGGTCTCCTTGGTTCAGGGGCTGCATGTGGCTCTTCCCCGCGGCTCTATACTCACGGTGCATGGCTGAGAAGGGGTCCGCTTTGCAGTGCAGATCCATCGGAAAGCAAAGGAAAGACAAATAATCAACCGAAGCCGCCGTGTCTGCCTCCTTCTCAACACGAAAACGCCAAGAAAAAATGTGGTGATAATATTTATTGTGGGGCAGTTTGTTTGTCCCGGACCGAGCGAGGAAGTTCTGCCCAAAAAGTTGCTCCTCTTTGGGGTAGGTTTCAGCAGTCCGACCCCGGTGTGGAGCAGGAGCCAGACATTCTCACTGTCAATGATGAGTTATGTGAGAGTATTTCACCAGAAAATCATGATATAAAATCGCTACGCACGGATCCAAAAACGTATAAAATTCCCACAGATGCACGGCCTCGCTTCTCCCGTCGTTGAGCTCAGGTTTGGGGCATGGATCCAGAGCTTTCCCCCCCCGGAGCTTGGTGCGTTGGTTCTGGGTCTCTCCGTCCGCCTCCGTGTGTCCTGCGCGGGGCTCGGGGCTGTCTCTCTCTCGCCCCCCTCTTTCTTTCAGACCACTTTTGCTCCGACACGGCTCACTTTCTGCACGGATGAGTTATCAGACAAAAGCGACGCATGTGATTCGCCGGCGACGTAACCCGTGGGGTCTGCACGAGGTGGTCTCTGTGGCGTGCGCGCAGAAGGGGCGGGGGGAGGTATAGAGCCGTAGCGCGGGTGTCACTTTGAAACAGCTGCTTTTGCACAATTTTTATTTAAAACTAATTATTATAATGTCGCATATTATCCCCCATGTGATCGCCGTTGTATTTATTTCTCTTTGTACAACCATATTATGTGGACAAATAAGACCAGGCCAAGCTTTTTTCCTCTTATTATATTGGAAAAGAAGATGTTATATATTCAACCTGGTTCAACAAAAGAGCCCTGGGAGTCAGTTTACGCCGCTTTGGGCTGAGAATGGACTAAAATCTTTATCTTTTCAACAAAAAATTAAAGTTGTGATTATGCGCTTGTGCGTGGGACATGAACTATTGTGATAGATGTTAGAATTAATCCTTGTTTTAGCTTTAAGAAAATCTTAGTGAAGGCCTTTCGCACGAGGACTCCCAGAGCAGTATTTTGACGGCTCCCATTCAAATCAACGACACAATTTCAGTTAATTCATAGTAAGTAATACCATGTCATTAAAAATCCACGGACATGAAAGATTCAGAGACAGCCACAAAGCTTTAAAGATTGTGCATATGAGATACGCTTCCAAAACTAAAAGCCTTCAAAGTGCCTGTTCTGTGTGTGCGCTACAGAGGTGGAGAGGCCAACCAACGGCCCGCGGACCCAGGTGGACCGCAAACTGTTTTTAATAGGCCTTCAACTTTAAAATGAGCATCTTGTTCATGTTTTAAACACAGATAATTGTCCCAGTTTGAACGATCTCATGTGTTATAGCTTCTTTAAGGCCATGATCCACGAGAGACCGGTTTTTCTTTTATGGAGTGATTGTTTTAGTGGTTTGATGAAACTGAGGTTTTGTGGATCTCACACTAAACACTTTTGAGGCAATTTCTGATTTATTGACTTTTAGTAATTTGAGCATAAATTAAACATTCATAAGTATTTACAATATTTACATTCCTATAGTTTATCAGATACTCACAGGCAGGTCAAACTCAGGCCCTTGGGCCCAATCCGGCCCGCGAGACCATTTTAGTGGCCCTTGAAATTATTTGCAATTATCACTGTTACAGTTTGGGAATAAAATGGAATACTGTGGAATATCAAAGGACTATGGAATACAATATAGAATACTGAAGTAACTATTATAATGGTCTGTGATACTTAGATTTGTTCTAAAATTTGTTCTTAACTAACATGTAATTAAGTTAAAAGTAAATAAGAGGATTTTAAAAAACCTCACTTTTTGAACAAAACTCTCTGGGCTATGGTCTTCATGATCCAAGTAGAAAATCCTCCTGTACCTTTAGGTTAGGCCCAAGATTTGTCTTTTATCAATAAAACTAGGGTCTAGTTGTCACAATAAAGTGCTTTTAGGTTCTGAGTTTGACACCTCTGCTTTAGTACATTACTATGTTGCCTACTGTTCCCATGGTTTCTCCATGTGTTGGAATATTTAAAATGTCCGTATAAATGTACACTTTTATTTCAATTTGCATTTTGTCAGCTCGAAATGAAGTAATATTATTTAGTATTAATGTTATACATCATCATCTTTTTAAAGTGGTTCCTTTTGTGTTTAATTTAGTAAAAAATTGTTTCCAATTACATTTTGGGTTCATTCATTAAGATTCAGATTCAGGTTTTTGTCATTTGCAGTAAAACCACATTGGAATACATGAGCAAGAGTCCCCAGTGTGCAGCAGACAAATGCATGATTAGCAGGACTAGCCTCCTGCTGGGACTCTGAGGAACACAGGGACCGGCCTCCTGCTGGGACTCTGAGGAGCACAGGGACCGGCCTCCTGCTGGGACTCTGAGGAGCACAGGGACCGGCCTCCTGCTGGTCCCAGAGTCAGGATTGTATCTTCACTCTTTTTATTGCACTGTAATTATCTATGCCCTGTCACATTTTTGTTCAGCACTTTCAGTTTGCCTTCTGTATGAACTGTGCTATACAAATAACCCGTATTCCCATCCTATCATTTGCATATGATCGAGTATGGGTGTCTGTGAAACGTTGACGCTCGCTGCGGTTCCACGTGTCTCCTGCAGGCGGCGCTGGGTCATTTCAAGCCAAACTACGCCAGTGTAAATGAAGTTTTGACGCTATAAGATCTCTGCTACTTGTTATGTGCTCGTGTAATGAATTGCTCTAACCCATCCACGTTATTTGTATAGCACAATCACAGGTAATCACAGGTAATCACAGGTAATCCATAACATTCACCACTGTGTTTTATTTCCGGGTGAGATGGACAAATATAAAAGCACAAATATATGTTTCTTATCAGTTTTAGTTCTAATTCAGCCATGTTTAGTTTAGTGTCTGTGAGACGTGGACCATTGACTTTCTGTGTGATTATAAACAATAGAAACCTTCGCTGTGGTCCTGAACTACAGCATCTGAGACATCACATGTTATTTATATGGAACACAAACACAATCCAGCACACAGACATATACGACTTATCACAGCAAAATCTCTCTGGTCTCTCTCTCTCTCTGGTCTCTCTTTCTGGTCTCTCTCTCTCTCTCTCTCTGGCCTCTCTCTGGTCTCTCTTTCTCTATCCTCTCTCTCACTCTGGTCTTTTTCTCTGGTCTCTCTCTCTCTCTCTCTCTCTCTCAGGCCTCTCTCTCTGGTCTCTCTCTCTTCTCTCTCTAGTCTCTCTTTCTCTCTTTCTGGTCTCTCTTTCTTGTCTCTCTGTGGTCTCTTGCTGGTTTATTTCTCTGGTCTCTATAGTCTCTCTCTCTCTGGTCTCTCTTTCTGGTCTCTCTCTCTCTGGTCTCTCTCTCTCTCTCTGGTCTATTTCGCTGGTCTCTCTCTCTCTCTGGTCTCTCTCTCTCTAGTCTTTCTCTCTCTGGTCTATTTCTTTGATCTCTCTCTATGGTCTCTCTCTCTGGTCTCTCTCTCTCTAGTCTTTCTCTCTCTGGTCTATTTCTCTGGTCTTTCTCTCTCTCTCTAGTCTCTCTCTCTCTGGTCTATTTAAGTAAGTAAGTAAGCTTTATTTATCTGGTCTCTCTCTCTGGTCTCTCTCTCTCTGGCCATAATTGTATAAAAACAACATTATTCAACCCTGTACTTATCATAACACATTAAAATCTCATTCACTTCCTACATATAGTTTATCTCTCCGTCTCCACGCGGGGCCCGTGCGCGTCTTGCTCCTATTACCTCGTGGTCATGACAGCTTTGGGGATAATTTCTCTCCCCCCTGTCACCCCCCCCCCCCCCCCCCCCCCCCCCCCCCCCCTGTCACCCCCCCCGCCCCCCCCCCCCCCACCCACCCCCCCCCCCCCTCCCCTCTCTCTCTCTCTCTCCTCTCTCTCTCTCTCTCTCTTTTTGCCTGTTTTTTGGTCTGATCTTTCCTGGTACAATATGCAGCGGCACTATAGGCAGTAATTTCACAGTCCAGTGCGCGACTCCCTCAAAGCACAAAGACCTCTGCGTCCCCCCCCTCCCTCCATCTCTCTTCCTCTCACTCTCTCACTCTCTCTCTCTCTCTCTCTCTCTCTCTCCTCTCTCTCTCTTCTCTCTCTCTCTCTCTCTCTCTCTCTCTCTTCTCCCTCCGCCGGGAGGATCGGGAATTAAAGCTGGGATGAGAAAGAGGCTGTTTGGGAATTTTGTGCCCCATAAATAATCGTGTTTATGTGTGTGTATAATAAAAAGCATGTATCGAACACGGCACATGAAGAGCCTTGACATTGACGCGAGAAACGCTATAACAATGCATTTTTCTCATATTAATACGACTTTAAAATCAATCTATAATGTAATGCTAAGTTCCTATAAAGAATTGATAAAGATTTAAAGCAGAAGAATCCACTGATATTTCTGTCATTAAAAACGTGTTGGATTCAAGCGATAGAAAACACACACAAAGTGATATTAATAAGACTTTATACACATAAACACACATGGTTCTGGACACGGGTTAGACACTGTGTCTGAAACATAGAGAGAGGTTTATGTGCAGATGCTCTTCTTCTAAACACAAACATTATTATTATACTATATTACTGCTGCTGTGACTATTGTTCGTAACTTTTAAAATTCTGTATTTATTTGTTTATTTGAATGTATCCCTCTCTCTCTCTCTCTCTCTCTCTATTATAATTGTTGTCATCATTATTGTTGTCATCATTATAATAATAATAATATGATGATGATTATTATTATTATTATTGTTTATATGAGATAGAGGCCCGCGCGCTCACGCAGCAGCTAAACCGAAGTATAATATAAATATTTTATATACACATCTCCCTCCGGTTCATTACTAATCAGACCATTATTATGTGTGAGTGTTTTGCTCAATAACGGTCCCGGGTTCACGTCCTCCTCTGACACACACACGCATGCACGCGCACGTGTCTCTCTCTTTCTTTCTCTCTCTCCCTTGTGTG